CCACCCCCTCCCCCACCATGAACCATACAAACTCATTATCTGAGGACGCGACACAAAGTTAAATCGTAGCGTGGAGTATGTCTATTTTTTGTTGAGTAGACACACAAGATGGTTAAGCCACAAAAACATAAAATGAATGGAAAGATATTTGCACTGGATTGAAAAATAGTATTGACAACAATTAAAATCCACGAGTTCCCAATGATGCTGATATAGGTAGAAAAAAAAGCAATAATCTCTTGCCATATTTTAATAATCTCGGCTAAAATAAAATTACACGACTAAGGATATGTTCTTTAACTATTGACAGTGTAAAGTTACATTCATTGGTCAAATTACTTTAGATAACCATCCTTACATACTGGAGAAATGAAGTGTTAACCTGTGACAAGAGTATGACTACAAGAAACCTTAATTAATTATCGCTGAGAACAAATCCAGCAACAGCAAGAAGACATTACTGCTGAAGTCATAGACTTACCAAAGGTTAACAAAACTCAGATCATGAAGAGTAATCAAGGCTTTACTTTGATTTTGTAAGAATCAGTTTCACAATAGCCCTCTGAACGTAATCTTAGGACCAGCAGTTGTTACACATCCCACTCTGCCCATGAGATGACCTCCTTTGTAGAGAAGAGGGAGGAAGACATACCACATATGCATCCCTGTGTAAGCAGCAGTCCTAAGGACAGTATCATGGATTTCCCTCTTCTGATTGGGCATATTTGAAATCAGAAAAGTGAAACATTTGCTGAAATAGTGAAATCTGGTGGTCATATTCGATATGTTAAGATGGCAACCACAGAAGGTAGGCTGATTGCATCATGCCAAGGCTCACTGGTAAACTTAATAAATAGAAAAAGAAAAAAAGGTTATCTTTCATTGCCTGGCTTGTTCTTTTTGAGCACTCTGAATCTTTTATATGGTCTTCCTAAAAAGTTCTTACATTATGAGATGGGACTTCCACAGAAAAATCATACCAAAAAGACAATTTTGTCCTTTCAATTACTTTTTTTCCAGAACATTTACCAGCAAGACTTGAATTTGTGCATTAGAGCCAGTTTTCCTGATTGCACTCAAGCATCATGGCCTCTTAAAAATACTGATGTTCTTTTATGCTGCACGATAATTGATTTTCTTACAATATACAAAGTATATTTGCCATGACATTAAAGTAAAGCCGACTTGATCCTTAGTTTGAATAACCCTCCATGGCATTTACAAGTTATGATGAGATTACATCTGGAAAGGTCATGTTTAAAACAAATTAACATAACCTGAAAGACAATGATATGGATTTCTTTAAAAAAAATTGCCACCAAAGCAATAAGTTCCCCTGGGAAGCATCCCCAAATATGCATCCACTTGGACCCCAAAAAAGGACAACATGCCATGAAAGGTTTACAAGGTCTCAAAGAAATTTATCATCACAAAAAGTAGTCAGGTGTTCTGCGAGTGACATGTGGCTCTCCTCGTCTAGGTGCTGGGTCAAACTGAAGGCTGCAAAGACAAAATAAAGTGATAGATCAGCCATCAATAAAAGTAAACATCACAAAATACTTGTGGGTGGTTTCACCTCGTGTCAACAACGACAACCCTTGTTTTCCCATGACAGCATTTTGAGCACTGCACTCAATAGCTTGTCACAACTGTGTTCCTGAATTTCAAAAGTATTTGCAGCTACAAGTTCAAAAGGTTGCCATCTCTTTCCTAATAGATGCAGAGATGAAGGCTTCCTAATCCAAGTTTAAATTATTACCTCATCTAAGAAACACTCATGATCACTGTTCGTTTGAGTTACAGCATTGGGAAAACACCATTGACCAACAACAAAATGGAATAATCATCATCAATCCAAAGTTTTTATAGGAAATATCCTTATTCAACTGTATCTACAGACTGGACAGACTATAAAGACAGGTGACCTAAGTTTACCAATAGAACAAAGGTGAAAACAGTTCACAAAACCTGGCTAAGAGACTATGAGCAAGGTACTATTTCTACTCACAATGAATACTTCAGTGCATCATCAAGTTCCATGATTGCAGCTTGATTTCCACATCTGTAGCAGTAGTTTGGAGCACTAAATATCGTAACTACATTCCTATCATGACACCAGTTGTAACCCTGTAAAACAAAATGGGATACCAATACATTACAACCATTGAAACAACTTCAGTGGCAACTTAGTCTTTACATGTACACATACAGTGGAAGTTTCAGTACCACATGCAATAGTCAAAGAATAGCTTGGAATAATGTGGGCATATTCTCCACTTATGAATAGAAATAAAACAGCATGGGCCATCAAAATATAGCCTGTGAATTTACCTATCTCCAGTATCTGATGAAAACTCAAGCAGGCTAAGTTGAGGACTTTGGTTAGAGTTTACATGTATTTGTGAAAGGTTTTCAATGAAACAACAACAATAATAATAATAGTTGCAGCAATAACAATGATACTAATAACAAACCTAACAACAACAACAACATTAAAGTGCAACAAATGGCAAACATTACTTATCTCTAACCTCCATAACAAGTTGATGAGCTCTTGCAATAAGAGTCAGGCCATTTGTGTGATTAAAAGTTTCTGATATATCTTGTCCAAAGGTGTATCCAGCACCACGTGGTGAAATACCCCAACCACCCCTATCATCTGGGTCACTCCATAACAAGTCACACATTGGACCCTAAAAATAACATGTCAAACACCAAAAAGTTACAGAAAATATAGACACTGCTTGGAATGATATTTATTATAGCGTGTCCTCATCATTGCAGAATTATATCACTTTGACATCATAAGATTGTGTGATTTCTTAAAATCACTGGACACGGCAGCAGTTTAACAATGAATGTCCACTTTGAAACAGTTTCTACTTCAAGAGGAAAACAAAATGTGTGGAAGCAAGTACTGGTTGCAGTAAGTAAAAAAAGAGAGGAAAGAAGTTATTAAGATAAAGAATGGAAAGGAGTTCTAAAGGATTGTGAAAAAAATATTAACAAACCTCATGAGGGACTTCCTGGATACGATCAAGAGCCCTAATGTGATCCAGTGTGTCAATGGAAGGTGACAAACCACCATGAAGGCAAAATATCTGCAACAGCAAAAGAATGTTTTATTTCCAACAAAGAGGAATGCAAATTTACATCCCAAAAATAACACTTTCCCTGTATTGCTCTGCTCAAGGGACTTACTTTGCTTTACTACACATTCACATTCATTATTCACATTCCTTAACCTAGATAGATATGTTCCTCATTTCATACCCTTGTGCAGTGTATAACTACTGTGAATGAAGCTCAAAGTTTCAGTGAAGACCAAATACTAAAGAGCAAACTTACCTGTGAATCTACTAATGCAGTCAGAGGAAGGTAGTCAAATAAATCTGTGAAATACTTCCAAACATTTGCATTCCCATATTTCCTGAGGCATTCATCATAAAATCCATATACTTGGGTGATCTGACGACTTTCATGGTTTCCACGTAAAATGGTTATTCTATGAGGAAAACGAACCTAGAAAAAGGAACATACATTTGAATAAAAAAAGACAACCTCCTTGTCACATGAGGGCCCAGAAAAAAAAGATAAAAAGAGAACTAAGGCAAGTGGAGAAACTGCCCTTTCACTAACCTTCAGTGTGACTAAAAGGGTTACAGTTTCAACAGAATAGTATCCTCTATCAACATAGTCACCCATGAATAGGTAATTGGTGTCAGGAGACCTTCCTCCTATTTTAAATAGTTCCATGAGATCATGAAACTGGCCATGTACATCTCCACAAACTGTGACTGGACACTTCACATCTTGCACATTTGATTCTTTGCTAAGAATTTCTTTAGCCTGAGAATAAAATAAATAAAACAGTCCAAAATTGCATGATTCTACTAGTGGTCAAAGCCAACAAATTTCAAATGGGTACAATGAACATTGTTTAAGGGAACATACCCAGTAAATGTTATCCCACAATACATTTACAAGTAATTGCAATCACATTGTCAGATAAATATGCAAAAGCAAAAAAGAAAAGATACCAAGGCAAGGGTTTAACTTCAGTTGCTTATCAAACTGATTTGCCATAAGTTGATATTCAAACATTTCCTTTCCTCTACTTTTTTTCCAATCAACAGTCAGAAAAGCAAGCCATATTTTACATAACATTTTTACAGTCAAAGATATATTTATGTAAAAGTACCACTTTTTAGTCAAATTCAAGCTGATATTTTTGAGATATTGAGAACAGTTTTGCAAGAGGTAAAGCAGGATCACTGGGGAAGATGTTCATCACTACAATCCATACTGATTAAGGGGGATACTAGAGAAAAAGAGAAGCTAGATAATTAGTTATCTTCCCAAATTACAGGACGGCTGAACACTTGGGGGATTCTGAACAGCTAGCCATTTGTGTGATGACTCTTCCCCTGCAGACCATTCCACTCAAACTACATGTATTCTACATGTTCTTCCTCTGGTGGAAAGATGGCTATGTGCTGCTTGAATCAATCATGCTTAAAACTCCATGACACTCACCACTTCCTTAAGGACACTTTGGAAATTTAAGAAAGAAGCCACTGTTTTGTTGACAACCACACTGTCAATTGACTCATTCTATTTATGTTCACTTCTAGACTAGTGTAGCCAATGTGAGAACACTATTCATGAAAAAAAAACCTAATGCATTTCAGGTTATTGGGGTTGAGCTCTCACTTAACCTTAGAATCTTAATTAGGTTAAGAGCTCAATCACAGGCAGGATCTTGTAGAGTTTTGTCATTCTTTGCAGACCAGCATGGATAGGGGTTTCAATGACTTCCAGCAATTGTTTTCGAGTCAAACTAATTCTTACTCAAATAACTCGCCAACTCCTCTCTGATACTATTGTTAATGGTTGCA